AAAAACCACACATCCATCCAAATAGTGGACAAAGCTACTTCATTGAATGAATTAGTTCAAAGGAAAAAAAAATCAATGACAGAACGCTCAGCAGTTTAAAGGTACTTCCAAAGTGACGAGTCTCTAATTTACTCCTAATCAACTCACACTGTTTCTGCTCTGCTTACCAATTTAGACAGAGGATCAATGGGGGGGAGGAGAAGAGGGGGCGGAGGAGGGAGAGAGAGAGAGAGAGAACACCTGTATCTTCTACATAACAAATATGTTATTTGAGAGAACCTAAGAGCTAGAGTAACCCCTAATGGTAATGGAACCTTTCCAAGATTCAGCAAGATCCATCACCTCTATAATGGACTATATCAAGCTCTCAAAGAAGGTACAATAAATTTCGATTAGCCAAACAGAAGAGTGAGGGAGAAAACTTGTATAGATTAATTTGTCAGAGGTCCCCAGTAACCAAGTTATAAATGATTGCAGGTGCTCCGCTTAATATCTTCTTTAGGATCTGCTATCATTCTTGGAAGGCAAATGAAAATAATTATGGGGACTTTATTGATGGTGGATTTAATCAACTGTCAGCCCTAGAATAACTTCCCAGATTTTTCCTTGCATTTAACTCTGGGAATTAAAATCTTCAGTATTAATATCAACAGACTTGTCTTCCTTCTCCCTCACCCCCTTTTCCCCACACATTGTGTTTCTGGATTGATAACCTGATAACAGAGTTTATCAAACACAAGTTTCTCTGCTCAGCCAGTCCCAGTTTCCTCCAATTCCTCATCTGCTATTAGTGCAGCCCCTCTTTTCTCCCACCACCTATTGACTCTCAATACCTCCTTGGCTTCCAGTCTCACTTCAGTCTTCTTACCCAGTGATCCCAGCCTTCCTACCTCTAATCTGCTTGGATTCCTAATTTCCTTTCCTTCCTCCCCATGACAAGGAGCCTAAATCTACTCCCTCACCTTACCTCAGCTCCCATTTTTGTCCCTTCTGCATCCCAATTAGCAGGACTTGACAAATCGCGTCGAAATCTACTCACCAGCCCCACACTACACATGAAGAAGGCCTGCATTGCACATGTGCGCACCACCGGTGAACGGGACGACCGGCTGAAATCTACTCGCCACGGGCTAGTATATTCACTGATTTGTCGAGCCCTGCCAATTAGGCACTTTCTTCCTCTATGGCTGCCTACTATCAGTGGTCTGGGTGTGATTTGGGAGTCAATGAGAACACAGTAGAGAGTCTCCCTGCTTTCATTTCAGGTGCCCAGACCTTGACCTGCCCCAAGTGGTAATTGCCCCAAGCTGAAGCATGCCCAGTGCAGATGGTCTGTGGGGGTGTTTAGCTGCTAAATTTAAAAATTCTGAACTAAACAAGTACTGTACCAACTGCTGTTTTATGGGCTTCTAACTTGGCCAACTTTGGATTCATTTCCCCAGGGATGACATAAGGCACATTCTTAACACAAAAAAAAATTCTGAACTAAACAAGTACTGTAGTACTTAAGGCACATTCTTAACACAAAGCCCTCTTGCCTGCCAAATTTCAAGTCCCTGTTTCAAAGAATTGGATCTTGCCTGCCAAATTTCAAGTCCCTGTTTCAAAGAAAAGCAAGAGCTTTTCAAAGCAAGGGTAAGAAGAAGTTGTTATAATGGGGGAAATAATTCATTTTACTTTGGACTTGCTTTTGGAAATGACTGAACTCTTGTTGGTCTTAAGTTTTCTCCCCTCCAAAAATTCAGTGGGAGGAAGATATGCAGCATGGACAGTTTCAGATCAAATATGGCCAAGTAATATGCAACTGAATAAAGAGCATTATAATAGGAACTTCTGGGCAACCTTAATATTGAATGTCCCTGCCAGGCCTACTATAATTAAAGTTCATTTACAAAATGCAAAACTCAAAGCTAGTTTGAAATTTTCTTCTTTGCAGTCACTGATTTCACACTCTTTAAATATACAGTAATGTTGAGTGTTAGGCAATAATCACACTGACGATGGTGGGTGTAGTAACTGCCCTTTATTTAGGATAAATGTAAAAAGCAACAAAGCTCCTTTATGCTAAAATAATAAGCGCCACTATCCACAACACAGGCCATGTGCAAAGCTGGAGTAGGAGATGAGCCAGACAGAGAGGAGAGGTTTCCTTCATGTCTGAATGCAAATACATGGTGTTGGAAATTGTTGTATGGTGCTGTGTATGTGAGAGAAGCTTCGGAGTAGATTGCTGGTGAAAAAGAGGCTTGTGACGGTAAAAAAAACAAAAAAAACAAAAAAACGGCCTCCTGTTTTGATTGTTACTATATTGAGAGAAACAGTCCTCTAGATATATTCTTTGTACATAAAGAGAATTGCAGCAGAGAAATAACCAACAGTTTCATCTAGTCTTCTCCTGAGGGAAACAACTCACAAGACACTAGGTTTTGTTTAACTGCTTAGAGCAAAGCAGAGAAATAATACTTTCATTCTGCAACTACTATCCTTGTAGAGGACTCAAAAATATATTATCTTGATATTAAATGAAATGTTATTAACTTAAACTATGCATGTATATTGAATATATACTCAATTTTATCTCTCCATAATTTGACATAAAAAGAGTCAAATATTTTGGAGCCCACATAATACAAAAATCCTGTAAAAATCTATCCTCCGTACTGTTCTTTTACTCAGGGTTCTACAAGGGAACATTGATTAGAATGCAGCACCTCCCAAACTTTCCTATGGATATTGCTCAACATCTACAGTATTTAGATTCAAGCCACTTACGGCTAGAAAATGATGTGAAGACAATTGTTTAGGTATGCTAATAACTGCAAATTTTGAACAAATATAGGCCTGGAAAAGAAGTGTAAAATTCAAAGCAGGATACGGTTTAGGATTTTGGGTTGCTCGTTTACAAGTAATGACATACCCACATAGCCCATATGAACAATGTTTGGGGACAAAAATTAATTATTTTAGGATAGGGACTGCAGCAGACAAGATATATAGATTAATGACAGAAGAATGATTTGGCTCTTATGGCTTGCCTACATGGGGAAGTTTTGCCAGTTATATGCATCCAGTATCCACAATCTTTTAATGTTTTCTTCGACTTGTTTCTATAATAACCAACGCCCACGTTTGTGCTCTTCTTTCTTTAAATCTTTATCAATCTTTGCAGAACTCATTTACCCTCCCTTTAAGCTTCAGAGGTAGACACCTGCTTTTTTCTCCTGTGAAGCACTATGCTCATTTATTGCAATATAGAAATAACTAATAAGTAGTCATTAAGGTATCTAGTAAGAGAGATACTTTATGACCCTATGAGGCCTGTACGCAGGAATTTCTGTGAGGGCGCTTTTTTGGAAATGTGGTCTGCAAGGGTGTGGACGTATCCTCATGTTCCCCCAAGCAAGCAGGGAAATCAGCCCCAGCCTTCCCCTGGCTGGCCAGAGCATGGGGGAGGGAGGCTCAGGCAGTACAATGACTATCGAGGGTGTTTTCACCCTTCACACACACACACACACACACACACACACACACACACACACACACACACACACACCCCTCAGCGTATGGGCCTGCCTATTCTTCAGATGAGCAAACCTGCACCTTACTCAGTCAATGCACCTGATTTCCTCAGCCTCAGAAAGAACTTCAAAATGGATTTGGAGCTAAATATTTCTATTGAGTATGAAGCATAAAAGCATAATATACAAGTATAAAAGCAGCTGTGGGAATAACAAGAGAGGCCAAACAGTCAATCATGCATGATGCACTATCCAGTCCCAAACTGGATACTACTCAAGTGACAGTGAGCATTCATCCTAACAAAGATTTGAGATGGAGAATTTGTTCTGACCTAATTTTCTTATGTGACAGCATTTCAAGTCCATTGTAAAAGATGTGTGTTATTACAGTGATTATAATAAGTAAAATCAGCATTTATATAAGATATTTGACAGTACAAGCTATTTACCATATCTAGAGATCCAAATCAGTGCAACTATTTGTAATAGTAAGACAAATGGGGTGTGCTCTTAATGAGAATGTATATGAATTCATGTAGCAAGGTAAATATTATAATAGAATACATTTTTATTTAAAGGCAACCATTTCTCTCAAACTCTTTACCTTTTCAGTTCACTGGGTCATGCTGCCAGAACATGTTTTGGTAAACACCTCCCTAGAAGCTCCAAAACTTATTGGCTTAATTTTTCACTCTGCCCTGCTGTCACCAGGTGTAAAAGAAAATTAATTAATATCAGGTTTAACATTGAGAAAAACCCTGATGTGTTTAAAAAAAAAACCCACACAACAAATTTGGTAGTACGAGTACAAAAGATGTATCTTTTTTCCCCTAGACAAATGTGGAGGCGTACCTCATAGAATCTGTACAATTTCTGGTCTGAGTAAGATATTTACAGTAAAGAGACATACTTCAAAGATCTCAGTTTTGATCTTGTTCAATGCATTTAACATAGCAATAGAAAAACTGCATTTTAATAGGGTAGCATTCATCATTTACCTTGTCCTAAAGTTTGCAGGATGCGGATGTCCATCATATAATGATAAATAATCATACTCTTCTTCTAGAGCAAAAGACTGAAAGACAATCTGTATTCTGTTTCGTTCTTCTGCTATTATTACCCATGTACAGTTTGCACCATTTGGATATCCATATGGGAAGCCAGGACTTTCAATAGTGCCATTTAGACCTTTTAAAGTTCCACCACAGGTATAAATAAACCCTGAAAAATAAAGAAGAGTAGATTAATAACGTGTTAACATAGACATACAGTAAAATATGAGTTTAATTCACGATGCCTATTAATCAGCAAAATAAAGTATCATGACATGTAATTGTCCTGTGCTACCTTAGAAGCAAGAAAGCTTATAACATCATTCTATATATCTTTCTACAGTACATGGTCATAAAGACAAATGTAATACAAGCAATATGGAAGGCACGAGATAACGTTTTGTGACAACTGCACAGAAACAAAAAAAATTTTTCCAACATCTTCTAAGGAAGTTGCTTCTCCATGACAAAGTTTTGAAGCCGACAAATAGCAAAACGTTAATGTTCAGGAGGGGAAAATAGTGCAGATTCCCTCAATGCTAACATAATTATAAGAGAGCTGTATCATTATTAAGATGATATAATCCGGTGTCTATATAAGTTTTAGTGGAATATTGAATGAAGGGGAAGCTAGTGGCATGTGGGTGGGGCAGTGACAGGATGGGGCAAAAGGGGCAGTTGCTCCTGGGCATGGCACTTAACAGGGGCTGGAGGCTCCTGACTGCTGCACTGCTACTGTTTCAATGATGGTGGCCAGAGCACCAGACCCTTTAAATCCCTGCTGGAACAGCAGGAAACGATTAGGGCTGGGAGAGAGAGGAGCGTTGCACCTGGACAGCACTGCCTGGGGGACAGCATGGTGCACACTGGGGGCGCTCAGGGCGGACTCCTCCTTGTCCCACCTCTTTTGCCAGAGGCCCTGCCCCTTTAACCTTGCCCAGGGACACAGAGGCTGTCAGCAGTCCTGATTCTGGGCTGCGCTCAGACATCAAAATGGTGACTAATTGGTAGTATTTTACAACATTTCTTCTACAATAAGATATGTGTCACCTCAAAATTAGGTTAGTGTAATTAACTTTTTGGAGCTAACAAACTGCTTCAACCTGGTTGTTAAGTATAGTTTCCCATTGGGGCCACATTATATCAGAGCATAAGGGACTGCACTGGCTACTAATATGTTTCTGAATTGAACTCAGCTCATTACTATTAACCAGGCTATGAACTTTTCTTGGTTATCTGAGAGATTGCCACTGTACTGCCACAACTAAGGCACTTGAGTTGGACTCCTTTATTTTAAGAGGAGAGGGACTCCTAGCAGTGTATCCTACATGAAGAGTCCTTACTTTTGGAATTCATTCCTGATTTCCTTAAGTCCAGATCAATTGCAAATTATATTTATTAAATTGGTAATAATTTCTGGTATCCTTGCTTTTTATCCTTGCTGGAAAATATTTAACCTCTCAAAGAGGAGAGTTTATATACACTTTATATATTTATATTATATTGTATGATTCACTGTATTGTGTATTTTCAATGTAATGTTGCTTAGCAAATTGATTTATAAAAGCCAAAATATGGCCAAATCCTAAATATTGAGCTACACTGCTCACATGCATATGATTGAACTTATTAAATATTTTTTCTCAACACATGCATATTATCAAGAATGCATGTCCATCCCCTTCTTTGAAGTATTATGAGAAATCTTCTAGAAAAATCATGCAAACATCCCTTAAAACACATTTTCCTGAGAACAGCAGTAAGAAGAACAGATCTAATATCTTTCCATCTTCTATATTTTTGTTTTTCTCCCTCACTGCTAGATAACAGCTGGCACTCATGGAACTCTGTTTCTTACTATTTTACTTTGCATTGCAGCATACTATAGGTGTACAAAGCCAGAAGAAAAGAAAAGCTACTCAGGGGATGGCATTTTGGAATTGTCTTGTTTGGTCTTAAGAGTCACACCGTATGAGAATTACCAGCTGCTGCAAAGTAGCTCAGAGGATTCATTTTCATGTCAAATTAGCCTACCTACTTTCAGCTGTCAGTAGCCTCTATTGGCAGATGAGTCATTTTTATTTAACCCTTCCTGCATCTCTGCCTCATCAACTCTTGATCTATTTTTAAATCTTATCTAAAAATTATTATTTATTAAACTTGGAATGAATAAATTTAACCTCTAAAAACTTTTGGGATATAGTGTGTATGGAAAGGACTCCACAGACTAAAGCTGAATTATACACATTGTGTCATAAGACATTAATTCAATTCTGGAGCATCAAACACAAACCTGAAGTTTGATTTTTACTAGTTATGCTTTTTTGACCTTTAATATGAGAACATGTCAGTGGAATCTATACACCAACTGCTTTAATCTCTGCATTCAGATGACAATGCAGTCTATAATACTTCTTTAGGTGAACTCTTCAACTCTGATGGTCTCACTTGGAACGACTCAATAGACAATACAAGGGTTTTTAATAACTTGTTCTCATCAAATGTTGAAAACAACTAAATTATTTACGTAAGACTATTAATGATAACACTTATTTTTGTACTGTGGTCTTTTACGTAAGACTATTAATGATAACACTTCTCATTTTATCTGTAGTTCTCAGGGCTGCACACAGAATTCAAAATGCACGCAGAATTCAAAATGCAAGTATTAGTTGCAAATTATTTTATTTTCATTTCAAGAGAATGGTGTCAAAAGATTAAGATAAAAGCAAAAAGGGAAGTGTTCACTAAAATTAAATGTGAAAAGGAATATAATTGGAACAACATTCCTTTATTTATTTCTATTAAGTTCAGTTTATTTATTCAGATTCTAACTTTTCAATCTGCAGAAGATGGTTTCCATTGGAACGTGTTTAATTATATTGTTAAAAAAAACACAGCTGATGAACTTCATGGAATACTGCTCTTGCTCTCACCACCTTTGAATAGATCCCTCTTCTATCCCTCATTACATATCTATCATTAACATACATCCTTCCACAGAAAACCATTTAATTTCTTCCACAGCATTCAGTCTGCCAAACTGATTTTACATATCTATCATTAACATACATCCTTCCACAGATAACCATTTAATTTCTTCCACAGCATTTTCAGTGCTACCAGCTTTGTCTTCCGGTCTTGACTGTCCTCCATTCTTTTGGCTCCATAGTCATAATCTTGACTTCTACCTTCACCCCTATACTTGCATCTTTCACTCCTTCTCTAAAGCAACATGTGTGCACTCTATACCTGTGCTCTTCCTGTTCTTGAAAATTTAATGATTACTCTACCTTTGCCTACTTCAAGATGTTTCTTTTAATCATTTCTGCACTGTTTCTGAACCACAAAAAATGTTTTCCTTCTATTATACAAAGACTTACAAAACCTCCAAGAAATTATTTTTGCTTAAATATTCTACAGAGGTATTCATTATATGAATATGTGGTCAATTCAGTCACACTGATTATAATGCAATCCCCTCCGAAAGAAAAACAGTTAACCAATTGCTAAATAAGTTTGTTGTCCTAATCACAAAACCTCTGTTTCCTTTTACTACTGCATCTGCACCCAGAATACGACCACATTTATTTTAAGACGGAATTGAGCCTATTCAGTGACACATGAGCTCTTCACATGCCCTTGCTTTCTTCTCATATAGGCCCTCCTTTATCCCAGTGTGATGGGCTGCCAGCTCCACACTGGACTCTAAACCATTAATAGATTTCTTTGGGTGTTGCACAGGAGACAGCAAATCAGACAGAGGCTGCAAGGAGTAGCAAATCAGGGTTGGACTAGCACATTTAAGAAGGTGTATAGCACAGAGCAGCTTCAGTCACTGCCTGCAGCTTGAGGCAGGAGGAAGACTACTCAGAACTACGGATGTGTAAATAATTTGTTTTCTGACAATTTCGAAAAATAATTACCCTAAGTCCAATTTTGGGGCTTTGTTTTGACAAAAAAAAATCAAAATGTTTTGTTTTAGCCATTTTTAAGTGTTTTTAATTTTTTTTCAAAACAAAGGAATTTGTGGAGCAAAATGTCATTTCAAACTGACAAATCAAAATATTTCATTTAGACAGTGTCAGAATAAACTGTTTTCTTTGTGCAAAATGTCATTTCAAACTGACAAATCAAAATATTTAATTTAGACAATGTCAGAATAAACTGTTTGCTTTGGGTTGATTTTCCTCAATTGCTTTAGTTGGATTTTTGTTTCTGAATTTAATGTTTTTTCCCCCCATCCAGTCTCCCACAGCTGCTTTCCCTTCTCCCTACTTCTTTTTCTTTTATAAGTGGAAGAGTGTTAAAGGGCCACTTCACCTTGAATGGAGCCTTGAAATATGTGTTCATTATTTATGCTAAATAATCTATTCTACCTTGTGTTTAGCTGTGATGCCTTGAGTAGGGGTTAGTCTACAGTAGAAGGAGTACAGTAGCAGAGAGATGTACTGATGCAACTGTCTCAATGCAGATAGAAGAGAACTCTCCTGTCAGCATAATAATTCCACCTCCAGGAGAGAAGTTCTACTCTGCACCCAACTCTACTCTGAATTAGAATCAAAATAATCCAAAATGTTAAATCGTAAAAAATGTTAAAGATTGTACCTGTTCCTCAGGGGTCTAAATTGACCATGTTTTATTTAATTTTTTTTTTTTAACTGAAACAATTTTAGACTTTTCCAATGATTGAAAAGAGGGGTCTCAATAAAAAAAACAACTATAAAGAAGTTTTAGGATGTACATCTTAATAAAATCATCATGAGATGTATTTTTCTTAAGATGAACTGTTTTTCATTTCAGAAAAAAGGCTTTTTTTATCAACAAACCTGTTTGAAAAATATCACTTCTTCCTTTACCATCCAGGACAAACCTGTTTGAAAAATATCACTTCTTCTTTTACCATCCAGGACATATCATAAAATCATGGAACTGGAAGGGACCTCGAGAGGTCATCGAGTCCAGCCCCCCGCCCTCAAGGCAGGACCAAGCTCCGTCTACACCATCCCTGACAGATGTCTATCTAACCTGTTCTTAAATATCTCCAGAGAGGGAGATTCCACCACCTCCCTTGGCAATTTATTCCAATATTTGACCACCCTGACAGTTAGGAATGTTTTCCTAATGTCCAATCTAAACCTCCCCTGCTGCACTTTAAGCCCATTACTC